TTTTTTGTAGCTCAGATCTTCCCTCAGAATTCTTGAAATCAAGGTGGCATTAATTCCAAGGGTTGCCTCCAGGTCTTCCAAGGTAATTCCTCCATTTTCATGTCCATTCCGAGAACTTTTGTTAGAACTCTCGTATAATAAGATACTTTCTCCACATCAGGACGATTTTCATACGAAATTTACTTGAGAAGGATCTCGATTTTCTGAGCCTGAATTTTCATAAAGAGCAATGCAGCAACAAAAGCATGTTTTTTAAAGATTCTATTATAGAGTTAAAGTAGCAGCTTTGATAAAAATGATTTGACAATTACTAAATTCATCTGAAGAAAAGTGATTTTTCGTTGTTGTGGAACTCACGTGATCTGTTTGAGCATTTTTCTTGGAGTTCCAGCAGAACTCGAGGATGGAGATGAGGACTGCAAACGCCAGTCCGCACAGTAGCACCACAAAAACGCCACCTGACACATGGGAAACATTCAAATACATATTGCAGCTGTTGCGAAAACCGAGGGGCGCCTCTAAAAGTTGTCAACGCAGGTTCCGATTTTAAATAACATTTCTCCATCTCAGACAACAGAATTGGCACAGCAAATACTTTTGAGATAATTTTTTTGGATAATTAATCTGAATAAAAAAAAATCCCCACTCTTAATTAGAGATCAGAACGCATGGGCCAATCTGTAAGTACTAGGACGTGATGACAAAACACAGCAAACCCAAGACAGAACTCAATGGATTAAAAGTCACAATCTATGAATAACTTACTTTTTTCATAAATGTACAACTTCATTCTTTTTTGGGTCGTTAAACTTACGTAATTTTCATTTGTGTCTTCTCCTACTCTTCTTACCATTTTCGGCGTGTGTAAAAATAAGTATGTAGTTAACTTTTTATTCACAGAATTTCAGCGACACAATTGCAACAAAATGATTATTAATCCAGCATCCATTATCATTCTTTATTCATCAACATTTGGCCAAATTTCCTGTGTATACATTTCTCATTTACTAGGTGAAACTTTTGTGATAGGTAATATTTACGGGCGACCAGGTTAAGCAAACAGATTAGATCAAAAATTAGGATGGGTGGGTGTATGCATACATATTGGATGTCCAGTTTAATTTTGGAAAGTGTGTTCTCTCTTTTGTTTTTTCATTGGTTTGTCCTTTGTTTCATACTTTGAAGTGATTGAATGTCTTTGGAGGGAGTTGGGTTGGGTGGGGAGGGGGTTTGGATGCAGGAGTCTTGGTTGTGCCTTGTGAATGCTGAAAAGCGGCAAATAAAGTGTTTTGTTCATTCATACATACAAAGTTATAACGTGGGTGAAGTTGAATGCAATAACAATTTGTCTTTTGAAGGCTTCTTCAGCGCCTCACCACTTTAATTCATCGAGAGATCCGCTGTACATTATTCTTTTTTTAATTGGAACTTAATCACCACCTCCATTAGTTAAACAAATAAAAATTAACTCTAAAATAAGGTTTACTCATGCAGTAGTCTGCCAAGTCCCGAATCAAACATAGACACAAGAAAGCACTCACGAATTCGCCAACGTTTTCGACCATTCGGGTATTTAATAATATACGGACACCCCGAAGAGCTTCATTCAAAATATATATTGCAAGAAGAGGCAAGAAAAAAATATTCTTGGTGACTCAAGAGAGTATAAAAGCGGGGCCATTTGCAAGAGGTCGATTAAACCACGCGGATTATCCTGTTCAAACGACCCGCTCCTTTTCACCGCGGGTGCTCACAAATGTGGTCAATATCGGAATATTGATGACAACCCTCACATTCTTTCAAGTCTATCTCCAAATCCTCAAAAAGCATACAAAAAAATATTGTTTCCAGAAAATGCGGATGTCTGTCTTTAAACTCAGATCCAAAAAAATAAAACCGAGAGCTGCGAGGGGTTTATTTGTGAAACGCGATCATCTGGTCTAAACAAATATTTTTCTGTTGCAGTGTCATAGCAATTGCTGCAGCAGATGAAGTCCTGCGTCATGGTGACGCACTTTCTTCCCATTTGTTTATTTATTTCTCGGGAAATGTATATGGGTGTTGTTGTAAATGTAAGAAGTAAATAATGAATGAATGAACAGGAAGCTTTATTTTCCGCTTTTCAGCTTCACAAGGTTCAATCAACATTCCCATTATCCAAACCCTCTTCTCCAACCAACCCAAATCCATTCAGAGACATTCATTCAATTCAGAATGGGAAACAGAGGATTTAGATGCATATGGATAAAAATAAAATAAAATTCATTCCACAAAATGCACAACTGATATGTATGCAAACACCCCTTCTTTCCCTGACATTGAAAACAAAATTTCAGTAACAAGAATTGTAGCGTAAGCCAAAAATGAAGCAATTGCAGCAGTTAATGAACCTAATTTAAAGCACAAGGTCTTCAGCTTGTTTCCAGATGAGGTTTAGTTGAATGAACAATTTAGAGAGAATAATTTGATGAAAAATCATATGAGACCAACAGTTTATCTTGATCCTCTATGATTTCAGAAATGGTCCCTTCATTAAATAAAATAAAAAAAAGAAATTGTGCAAGGAAAGCATCAACAAAATGAGCTTTTACTTTGTTTCAACAATTGAATTGACCAACGGAAAGAGTGGACCATCAGAGGACTAAGACAAATCACGTTCTTCTACGCTTCAAATAAAGTCTGGTAAGAAGGATACTTTTTCATTGATTATTGAGGATCATTATATAGACATCAACTTATGCGTCAAAAGGGTCCTTCCGTATTTTCATCAAGTACATTTTCTTTCCGGACTTCCATATACTCGATGGAATTCTGGATTGGCAATTTTTCATTGATTATTGAGGATCATTATATAGACATCAACTTATGCGTCAAAAGGGTCCTTCCGTATTTTCATCAAGTACATTTTCTTTCCGGACTTCCATATACTCGATGGAATTCTGGATCGGCAGAAGAATGTATGAAATGCATCCGATCTGATCAGATAACAAAATTTATAGTGACTCACCTTATACAGTATTGTATCCGTAAACGATGTGGACTAATTATAAAGAATTGGTAAAGGGATTTGAAAATAAACAGCTAACAATAATGTAGGAGAAGGCGATTTCCATATGTTGAATGAGAGGAAGAATGTGACTTCAATATAATAAAGCAAACATCAACAGAAAATTATCTTCCACAATATTTCAGATTCAATCCCAATTGTCTTCGTCTGTGGTAGGTTTAACAGTTCGAGCTATTTTTTCCAAAGCGCCAATTGAACTAAGATTACATGTGATTTTTCATATGCGTGTTTCTTACGTTCAGCATCATGTTCCTATTTTAGATGAAGGACAGTTCAATGGATGCCATATTTATTGGAATATAAACATCATACGTTTGAAGATGCATCGCTATTTTTTGTGCCTCATCATGAAAACAATTTCATCTTCGAAAATATCGAAATAAAGGCGTACTTTCATTATATAGTATTAGGTTTCTCCAGAATTTGTAAGCTTGATATCTGAAAAATTTCTAATATAAATAAGCATCAAACGTCGTTTAGTAAAAATAGAGTTAAATATTTTTTCAGCTGCATTTTAGGCCGTACTTTTATTCAAAAGCTTAGGTTAGTCAGAAATAGTTTTTGCACTTCATCTATGGCTTCATAAGAACATAGAACAAAAGACGCACCATGATTTTTTGTGCCGAATTTTGCGGGAAAAAATATAGACATTTATATATTTGAGGAAATACGGTTTATGTGGGTTATAATGTCCGAACTGGAGATAACGAGTCCTGTCAAGTGTGAATGCAATTTCACGGATTCTTGAGCCAATTTCAGATCATCCATCCTGGGCATTTCTTCGCACCACAGGACAAAACAACGTCTGCTTCAGTCTTCCAAGCGCAATTAGCTCCGCGTGTGTGAATATTTTATTCTATTTTTATTTTTTTACGTTGAAAGGTCGACTGCGCTTTTCCAAATGTTCATCAGGATCTATCAGGCAAGTTGGAACCCGCGACCCGGAAAAAAAAAACTTCTGTCAACCCATCAGCCAGGTTCAATTCCCATGTTTGTCGAAACATTTTTTGGTACAGTATATATACAGTAAGACCCCCAGATGCGGACATAATTGGTGCATCAAGAGTGTCCCTAAGTTGAATTGTCCCTAAGTTGAATTTCCCATAGACTTAAATTATATGATTTTTAATTGGTGTTTTCTGGAAGAAATATACTGTACTTCAGAATTCTATGAAAAAATTTTTTTTGCTTTTTGAATATATTCAGTGAATATATTTTTGACACAATAAGAACATTTGGAGCATTGAAGAGAATAACACTGTACAGTTCATTGAAATTTTGGCATCTGTAAAAATAAATTCCAAGTCACAAAGAGAGAAGGAAGTCCCTCTGTGCTACAAATAATTTTTTTAAATTAGCTGAATGGATGAGAGAGTGATGGGAAAAGTACCAAAGAATTTTTCTTACATACATCTCAGGGTTGAAAATATCTGTTTCTTGCAATTAAGCCTAATAAAAGTCAATTTTCCTAAAATTTATTGGAAATTTTATCATGCAATGTCCTCATGTTAAGTCAGTGTCCCTATGTCGAGCCTTTTTTAAATGATTTTTCATTGAAAAATAAAATCCCTATGTTGAATTGTCCCCATGTTGAGGTGTCCGCATGTGGGGGTCTCACTATCATTTTAAAGGTTAGGATGGCGCCAAAGCGTAAAATTATAGCATAGGACTAATTATATCACAGAATTCACATTTCCCTGCATATAATTGTTCAACAGAACATTAGATGAAATACATAGAGTAAAGAAATATTTTCCTCTTGTCCTCTGCCTTGATTTTCTTACAAATTAGGTTTTTCTATTACAGTGCAACCCTGATAGACCATCCCCATTAGACTGCCACCCTCACTTCCTGCCAAGTTTTTCCTTCAAACAAAACATCCCAACCTTGAAATGATGGGACACCACCAATAAACTGCCAACCACCATCTGCCAAAAAAATTTTCCCCTCCAAATCTGCGCCCAACATGTATTTTCCCCCCTTTAAACTGCCGATTGGTTTCCTGTCCATCAGCCAGGTTTTAGTCTTTTGAAACCTGGTTTTCTGGTTTCCTCTCATGAAGGTTATCATCTTCTGATGCATGGCATTCTTTTTTTTTTTTAAACAAAAAGCCAAAATAATTTCTGCTTCAACACATGAACTCATTTCCTCTCATGAAGGTTATCATCTTCTGATGCATATAGCCATCTTCCTTCTTCTTTTTTTATAACTAGCCAAAATAATTCATCCTCAAATACAGCATGACACCCTTCACAGTTTCATGTTAATAAGACCCTTGAATATTATTGTCTACAATTTGCAGCAACTGTTTTGTCTCAACAACCAAGGACACAGAAGGTTGGACTTTTTTCAAATATGCAAACCAAAAAAGCAGTTCTAATCCCAGTCAACTGAGTTTGATCTTGGAAGTGGAAGTGCTGAAGTGTGTGAAATTGCAGGGAAGAATAAGGCTATAATCCCTGAAAATTTCAAATGGAATCCTTTGAAACTTGAATAAAGTAGTTTACTCCACTTATATGTGCTGCTTTTATTTTCCATGTGCCACCCTTTCTTCAACCTTCCCCCATTAAAAAAAAGAATGTTTTTTTCTTCTCCCGTTAAACCGCCACCCTCGTTAAACCGCCAAAATTTGGTGGCACAAAAGTTGGCGGTTTAACGAGGTTCGACCGTTATATAATATAAGTAAGATTCTAATGTATTCCAATTGCGCCTTCTGAACTCCTCGCACAAAATACCAGTACAAGTTTCGTTAGAAAAAAGAGACAAAACGCAAAAAAAATTAAGAATGGATCCATTGTTGGTCTTATCTTGTCGAGTTTTTGTTTTTGTAGAGAATAAGAGGCAGATCTCACCGATGTTGTCGACACCCAGTGCAGAGGCCTTCGACTCCTTTTCTCGGTCTTGGCGTTTGTTGCAAGTATCACCCGAGTTTTTCCACCACTTGTTGTAAAACATTGGGATCACGCCTTTCTCCTGCAACTCCAGGATTGCCAGCGATATCCTATCTCTCCAGGGAGACCCTGCAACCCACATGGAGCACATGTGAACCCTCAGACGGGTGACGGGTTCAAAGCTCATCGATTTCTCTCGTGTCGTGAGGGGGGAATTCAGTAAAAGGCTTGCACACAGGGATATTCTGATCCTTTTATTTTTTTCGAAAACATTTCTTTCCGCCTGCTTTCTGAATTTTGCAGCCTTTTTATACTAGCATTCAATTTTTTTAAAGATGTTTTTCCATTTGTCTTGCATTATTAATCCTTTCAACCGCTGATGGTAATTTATTTTATGAAATGGCTTAATTAAAAATGGAAGAATCAACGGGCAACTCTTGCCATGCAGCCGTTTTAGTTTTGAAAAGCTTTTATCCCTATTTGAAAGGCACACATATTTGCCGCTCAGTTGAAACTTTAATCTGAACTTTTGGTCTGCCTTTTGCAGTTTTCCCGAATTTTCTTCTGCTTAGTTCAACACCTCTCAGTCAAACCTCCAAAATTCAGAAACAAATTTTTAGTAAATCCCTGGCCAAAACCCTTGAGTGCGATGGATTTTAAACCTAAGTAACTCAAAAATTGTTGAACTACTAAATTTGATATCAATCGTGCTACAAATGTTTTTTTTTTCGTTCAAATTTTCATCTACCAGTTTGAGTCCAAATATATACTGTATTTGCAATAATTTAATTTAAAAAAATTTAAACTTCTTTAAATGTATCGGAAGTATGACGCACACGTAACATATTAAAAAAACATTTTAATGACGCGCAATTAAATTGTACAAATTGATTTTCCCGGTAAAGGGTGAATTTGGTACTTAAGTTTAACTATGGGTACTTTTCTTCTCTGCACCAAGGTTTAATGGGAATCGAAGGCTTTTGGATTCTAAGAGCCTTTTCCTCATCCAAAAGACCAAGACCCCCCGAGAACTCATTGAAAATCCTCTTCGGCTGCAAAATCCGAAAGAAGTTCTGTCCACAAGCGCAGAATTTTGCGGATGTGACCCGGAAATAACGTGGCAGGTTGCAGAAGCAACGATGACTATACCTTATCTTTTCCCCACTGAAATTTGCTAAGAGGCACAAAATTCTCCCACCTCTCTATCTATTATTAATTTGACTTTTTTTCAATCATATATTTGCTGCCTGAAAAAGAAAGGCGAGAAAAAGTTTCTCTGAAAGAAATTCCAAACGGACCAGCAAGCATTAAATTCTGCACAAGACGAAATCAACTCTTCCGGAACGGTAAAAAAAAAAAAACAGTGACGAAAACTTATTGAAAATCTCTTTCGGACTTTTTCTTTCAAGAAAATAACAAAAATCACGTTCATGTGTGTATATACTCGTACATGCAAGAGAGAAAAATAAGGTCACCTCTGGGGGTTGCGATACCGTATCCCTTGGAATCGAGAAGGCCGCCGATTTGGGTGAGATTGCAATTTCGCTGGACAATGTAGTCCAACATGGTGGACTCCATGAGGAAGGCGTAGTTTCCATCCAACACTCGTCGGATCCCTTCTTCGTAAGTGTCCACGAACACTGACGGCTTCCTGTTCTCCATGAACCTCCACATCTTCTGATACGTTTCTATCTTCGAATCCTTCGCATTCACACCAAAAATAAAATGCAAGGAAAAATATGAAAATATATGCCCCGAGTTTTCATAGGACATATAATTTTTACTGAAGGAAATGAAAGAAGAAAATTAAAAAAGCAACTTGACGTACAATATTAAATTATGAGAGTAAAAAAAATTAGACCGAGTTTTTCAGAACTAAAAATATAATTTTCAAAAGACACAGAAGGAAATGTATCTAGTGGCAATTCAGCTTTCCTTTCTCCGTCCCCTGTGCCTTTTATGGATGAAAACATGACAATCTATTCATTTTTATGATTGTTTTTATCACCAAATGTACACAGAGCTGGGACAAACTCTTGAGAGCAATTTAGAAAAAGGATTCTAAAAGCTCTAAAAAATCAAGCTCAACAAAGGTTAAACATTTTACAAAGTAAATGACAAACGTTTTAAAGCCGCGCAAAGCAAGACAATCATTGTACAAACCCCTTCCATTCTAAAAGTAAGCACGTGTCAAAATTCTCTTACATACAGGACTTCAGAAAAAAGCAAATACTTGCTAGTCATAAACCAAGGATGAGCCCAAAACGTTTTAGCAGTGATGGACAAGTGTACAATTCCATTCTAAAAGTAAGCACGTGTCAAAATTCTCTTACATACAGGACTTCAGAAAAAAGCAAATACTTGCTAGTCATAAACCAAGGATGAGCCCAAAACGTTTTAGCAGTGATGGACAAGTGTACAGTGATTGAAAGGTATAATTGAGTGATTTTTTTTCAATTTATTCGAATAAGACAGCCCAAACCAATTTAAAGACGTATTAAAAAAAACTATCGATTTCTTTCTGGTCTATACATCCAGCATACAATCAAAGTTGACAAAGCTTGACTATATACAAAACCACATAAGTACAGTATTCTTCACCAAATAATTTTTACCGTCAGTTTCAATCATTTATCTCAGATTTTTTTCCTTCTACAAACTGAAGCCTGGAAGCAAATTTACTAGAAAAAGGATGATTCAATCATCTTTCAAAGCACGAATAAAACGGAGTGATAGCTGATCAATATTAGTCAACGGAAAAACCGAAGAAGGAATGATGAAAATAATCTGAGCACTAAATTTTCTTGGCCAAATCTGCACTGAAATAGCTGCTCAGCACGAAAGAAGTTCCGTGATCATGAAACTGAATGAGGAAATAGCATTCGACATCAGTCTGAGTAGTTCTGCTCTTGAAAGCTATTGAATGAATGCTGGTAATTTCGGAGGATACTTTTCTGAAAAGTCATCAATCTGACTCGCATTAAGAATGCATAGGTTCAGTAAAAAAGCATATCTCACTATAATTCACTTTCAGCATATTCAGAACATCTGCCAGAATCCGTTCAAAGGGATTGCAAAACAATATCGTTGAAGTACTTCACAGTCCCGAGAAGTCGTTTGTCAGACTGGGAATATTTTCTTTTACCATCTCTTATCAGACTCTCACGTACAAAGGAGAAAAAGTCAAGGAAATGGTCAAATTTAATGCTTGCCAAAACATTTAATTCCTTAGAATCGCTTTCAAAATAACTTTTAATGCTTTATTTTATATGTCGCCTTCAGCTGGCTTTGACTGAATTATCGAAGAAACAGCATTTTAAAATGCCTGCATCAAAACTCTTCCTGTAAACCATCGGTGAAATACTGTTTTTAGAATTAATTTACAAAAGAATTATTTCTTTGAAAAGTAATCCCAATTGAATTTGACCAAGAACAAATTCTGAATTTATAATCCAAACTTTGCGCCCGTAAATTGGCTGTCATCTTATATTATTTGAGTGTCCCCTGACTAATGCAGAATACCTGGTTAGTGTGGATTCTATGTGGCTCATCTATCCCATTATATCTGAATATGGAAAGGGTGTATTGCGGTCACGCGCATGCGGTTTACGTTTTCATTGTGTTGGTTCATGACTGGTCATTCACCTGTGCTCATCAAAGTCTATAAAAGATATGCCCGAGCATATCTTTGGTATTCATTGTCTGTTGAGAGTCTGTCTGACTAAGTTGTTGCTGCCTGAAATATACCTATAGCATTTGTAAGAAAAGTCCTTTTCATTTCCAAAACCCAGAATACAAGTTAGTACTTCTCATCAGTATTTATCTGCAGTCAAACACTGAGAAAATAAGTAGAGTCTTTTTGCGCAGAGACATCAGCGCAATCGATTTCATTTTGATTCTCATGACCATAGGATAACACGGCATTTTGGGGAAAAAGGAAATTTTTGCAGTCAAGTTGTTTTCAGACTTTTCACTACAGTGGAGTGCTGCTGCTTGTGCTTATTGCGCAAATTAAATTTTGCTCTAAAAAGATCTTCCCTTTTCTGATTAAAAATGAGCTCATAATTTTTACTCAGTGGCATTCTTTGGATAATATTCAGATATTTTTTTGATTTAACCTAATTCACTTCTTGCACACTTTTCCGTAATTTTCATGCTGTCATTTTATTTCAATTGAGACAATGATTTTGCCTGTATGCATTTGTATTAATGGGATGTGATAGAATACGGTGTATCTTGCAAACATGGGTGTTTCATGAAGTTGAAATTGGACTAAGCAGTAGTGAAAATTGCGCATAATCAAGAACTAAGTTGATTCCTTTATAGGTTAGAAAATCTTTTTTCCGACCAAAAATTGTATGATGCGATGGAATTTTTTGGTAGTTATGCTGAAGGTGAAAAGTGCCATAAAATATTCAATGCGGGGATTTACAAAGCAATAAAAGTCACGGCTGCAAACGATAACAGAGATAGTAAAAAAATTCTCAACC